TGACCCTCAAGACTTAAGGACTGCCAGTGTACTAGTTCTCTCACGGAAGTGAGTTGCACTGAGCCATTTGTACTGCTTTATAATTTAACTGTTTATTTCTTCTCTTCTCTAGCTATCTAAATATATATAAAATTATTAGTGTCCTGGTTTTATTTCTCTAGAGAACCCTGTCTAAAACAATCTGTTAGTACTTGTTTCTGTGAAACCGTGTCTTCGCTTCTTCATTCCAGAACAACTCTGATTCATAGAACCTTACTATGAGAGAGTTTATGTCTCTCGAGTAAACATTGCAGGAACAATTAGGTATCTGAGAATCAGAGGGAAAGGAGAATAAGATGTGAAAGTAGTCAAAGGCAATTGTTTTTGAAAAGGCAGATTGAACCTAAAAGAATTTTACCCTTTAAGACAGAAAAGAATTTTCTTTTTGTTATATTTTAGGTGCCAGGAAAAGAGAAAATGGTAACAAAAGAAAGAAATAGAGCTAAGTTCCGTGTCTAGCTGAGCTGTTGCTCTCGCGCAGATTTTTCCACGTCTCATTATTATTTTCTAACTCAAAGAGCATGACCTTTTATGGCAGTGTACATATTTTTGGCACCAAAGTGACAGATGAGCATAATTGTATCTCCTGACCTGTGTTGCTTCCGGATGCAATGATTGTCCATTGTCTCATCATTCAGTAATCTCCCTTTGGGTTTCTCGTCCTTCTTTCTCTTCCAAAGATTTATAGTTTATCTCCCTCCCATAAGATAGGGAAAGAACACAGAAGAGGAAGAAGCAAATGGGGTTTGGCAAGACCATATTGCAATTTCTCTATTGTTTGGTCTAATTTAGGAGGTGAGTACATTAGGAGAAGAATGCTTTTTGCCAGGCTTTACAAATCTCCTGCTGAATTTGGCATTCACGGTTCCCTTGAGGGTTGCTTTCTGGGGATCCATTCATAGCCATGTGTTTGAAGAACTGTGCTTTGGCATTAAGAAAGAGGAGCAGGGATTTTCCAATCCTGTTAACATAGTAAGGCCTACATGTAGTTTAGATCTTCAAGTATCATTTGTAAGGAAAAAGCAGCACCACGTGTATTAGATAACACTCAGAAGAAGAAAAAGACTGTAACAAATAGCTAATACATTAGATTTATGCTTGTTCCTCCCTCTTTTTTCTTGACAAAAACATGATTTAGTCAATGTGCTGCTTCTTTTCTTTGTGTTGTCGTGGACCCTGATTGTCAGACACTGAGCACTAAAGAACTTTCCATCGTAATTCGTTTCTTGGGCATTTGTGGTCCCCTCACAAGTGACAGGACATTTCACAAATCCATTGTGCAGGGCAGCCAGCACTTCTTGAACGACCTACGTGAAAATGTGTCTAGCTTTTTCTTGAGGAGCCGTGGTAGCACCAAAGTTAAGCCCCGGCCACCATGACAGCTCCATGGGGGAAAGAGCTGCTGATCTGCTCCCGTAAAGACTGCAGCCAAGAAAACCGTCCCACAGGGTCACGACTTAGTTGAAACAGACACGACCTTACCCATCAACAACAGCCTTTACGTGGGAAAATGACGGCAGCAAAGACAAGAGGAAACGAACAGCGACACTGAGCTGGGAGACTCAACCCTGTGAGACCGGCGGGCTGGATTTGTTAGGATCTGCTGGTTAGGTTCCTGCTGGAGAAGAGAGGATGGAGGCTCCTCTTTGTTAGTGCTGAGTTCATGACGTTTATCTTTTCCCAAGATCACTGTGAAACTATCTGAGAGAAAATGCAAAGACATTCTCTTTGGAAAAATGACCCTGGTCAGAAATCTCAGCGGACAAACACCATTTCCAGCTTAATTGATCAATGGAGCAAATATTTTAAGATTTCTTATTCGCTCTCTTCCGTTTCCTATTGGTGTGATTACAAATGATATATGAAATGCCTCAGGACCCTAAAAGAAAAGTCCCTCCTTTTACACAAAGAAATAAAATCACAGGCGGATGTAAAAAGATCCAACTACCATTTGTCCCTGTAAAGAAGGAGACCGCCTGAGAAAAGGAGCATAGCATGTCACTGAGTTTTACCAAACGGAGGGGAAGAAATGAATGCAAGCGTGCACAGATTTTACTTGGTCCCTACCTGAAGCCATTGATTGTCAATAACTTGCATTCTATTCTAAATTATTTGCAGATGCCACTCAATAGCATTTCTCTATTAAAGAATCCAACTTTTAAAAGAATAAGTAACACTTTCCAGCAAGGACTATGATCGTAGGGAAGGGTGGAGGAGACCACATTCCAAACCAACGGCAAGGATTACCTCAAGAGAGTGGGTTGGGGAAAGGAAAGAGAGGGTATTAACCTTTTTGAAATTAATTCTGTGTTTTTCTAATTGTCACATCAAGTCTATATTATTTTGTATCTAGAAGTCAATCAAATACTATAAGCCAGTAAAAAGTCTTTTAAAGGCCTCGAGATGGCCTTTCAGCCACAGAAAAGATAGGACTATAAAGTGAACTACAATACAGGGAGGAATAATCAACTATATGAAACCGTGTAATTTCCCCAAAAGCAAAGTTAAAGAGGTGTATGCGCGCGTGCGTGCGTGTGTAAACCTGGAATTCCTGCAGGAATGATGAACCCCAGGTGGAAACACATTTTAGGGATGGCACCCAGAGCCAGGGCACAACTGTGTACACATTGTTGGAGGGAAACTAATTTTCTTGTTAAACTTTCAGTCACAGTAAAATGTTAAAAGCAGCAACAGAAGAAAGGTCCCTGGCAGCATGGACTTTTCTAGAGTATCTGATACCCAAGAATTCTAACAACCAGGTGCAGCGGTTGGCTTTGTGGGGTCCTGATTCAAATGTGCCAACTGAAAAAAGACATCTGGGAGACAAATGGGGGCATTTGAATGTGAACTGGGTTTTGGAGGATACCCATTAATTATTGTTAACTTTGTTTAGGGGTAATAATGTAAGAGATGTTATAATATTTTATTTATTTATTTGAGATAAATGAAAATGTGTGGGTTGGGGTGATATATAGTCTGGGGTTTCTTTGAAAATTCTTCAGGGAACAAAACAAAATAAAACAAAAAATATTGGACTAAGCAGTGTGATCAAATCTTAATAATAATAGAATATAGGTTATGGCTACATGGAGGTTCATAATCCATCTCTCTACTTTTGTGTAAGTTCCAGATGTTCAATATAGAAAATGTTTTACTGGTTATCAAAATGATGTGGCAACATGGAAGAAAATTAATTATATAAAATTACATGGAAGAATCTACCCCCAAACCTAAACCACAACCCCCAAACCTATGCTTAAGCTGCTCCTCCTCTTAATACTGACGAACCTGTCCCTCACCCCCCTGCTCCCCTCCCCCTGTCACATACACTAACACGTTAGGGAAGCACAGTTAAAGGCAAAGAGCTGTTGAAACTCCTGAGATAAGAAGGGCTGTCCATGCCTGTTAACAGCTACTAATGTTTTCTCTCCCATGATTGACACTCAGCTTATGACAGCCATTATGATTGATACTTTACTTAATCAGGGGCACAGTCAAGTCCTAGCTGTTAAACACAATCAAGCCCCCACCCCCAGGAGAAGTCCCTTGTTTCATGAAAGGCGCTGCAAATAAATATATTCAAAATGCAAAGATGAAAGTAGTCAGCAAGGGCAATTAATTTGATGGGTTAAGTGCTACAAAAGTGTACATCTCTTTAATGGCTGCCACTTGCAAGCTCATTTTACCTTGTGCACCCTTTCAGTGGAGTACAGACAAAGGTGTTAAATGTTCAACTGGCACCTTTCACGTTACTGCACACAGACAAGCCTCACTCTCAGAGAAAAGAGCTGCGATGGAATAAAAAAATTAAATGGAGGGTCAAAATAAAATTAATTTCTTATACCGCCACCTAAGCTTGGCTAGAAATTGGTTTTTGGTAAAATTGTCTGTCTGTTAAGAAAGTTGTTCTTTGAGCTATGCTGCTTGGTTTGTCTGCTAATGCTCCTGAAGTCAATTTGGAAACACTAAAGTGTTGTACAAATGTAAGCTACTGCTCTAATTAGAATACTCTAACAACTCTAACACTTCCAACAAGTTAGCTGATAATTTGGAGAGGAAAGTAGGCTGTTCGGAAGCAGGGAAATAGAGAATAAATCCTATGTTAAAGAAATCCTTCCTACCCCAAATCAAAAACATCAGACATCCTGGGAAAATATCAGGGGCTTTCCGAGATCCCAGAGGATTCATCGCCATGGAAATGTGACCACACAGGATATATATACATTTTCTACAACTCAGATTTCCATTGACCTCCATCAGGGCAGTAACTCAAGGTCTGTTATGGTGTGATAGGACCATTTGAGTTAATTTATTTCTGCCTCTAACATTGTAATGGTTCCATTCATAACAATTCTCTGCTGTGTGGTGCCAATAGCAACAGCTCAGGCAAAGTTTATCATCCTAAGAAAATAATGGAAATCAAATGTGATGGTGGATCCATGGAAACATGCAGTTCCATGACATTCCAAAGTCAAATAGGTTCTCTTATGAAGAGGGCTCTTCTCCACAAGCCTGGTATGTCCACTTTCACTCTCCCCCTCAGGTTCTGCACACTGACTTTCCATCCCCGGTGTTTAGTCCCCACCATGCTTACCTATATCAGGTCGCCCTCCTGATACTCATATTAACATCACTGGAAATACCTAGGCTCAGAACGGGGTCCTTTCCTACCACCTTGTGGGGTGGCCATCTCTCTGCTATACATTGCAACGTCACACCATTCATAGATTTTTTTCCATAGCCAAAGGGTAAATGCGAGCTTCTTGTTTGCCATCTTTGTTTTTAGATATCTCATAACTTTTTAAGAACCCTATTGCCAGGTCACACCACCCAATAACAACTTGCCTACAGTAGGGGCAACTTGCCATATAATGGAGTCCAGGCAAAAGGTTTTCTCTGGCCAGAGAGGACATGTAGCAGGGGTATGGAAATTATTGATAAAACCATGCAAAAATACTCACAGTTTTGGTTTGGCAAGCAGAGGTGGTGGCTCCTTAGTGGGTGAAAGTAGGACAGCTGGTGTTGGTAGAGATTCATTACTGTTAACTTTGCCATTAATCAGTCCATTTACTCCATGGCTGGGATGGATTCCGTTAGTTCCCCTCTCAGCAGAATTGAATTGCATTTGAAGGGCTGTCATGCTCGGTCCTATCTCAGGACTGTTCACCTGCTGGATCTCAGACGGTTTCTTTGAAGCCAACTCGAAGGAACTTGTCTCCAAGATTGGAGGCGGAGGTGGGAAGTGTTGGAAGAGATCATTGCTGGATTCTCCCACTGAGTCAGAGCTGCAGTTTTCAGTGTTGGCTAGGGGAGGGAAAGGGAGGAAAACATAATAAGATGCTACTAGTTCAACAAGGTATTTTCCCACGGTAATAGAGCTTCTGAAAAGCCCTGTGCTCTGCTAAGGCGCTGAAGCAGTGGCTGCACTGGTCTCATTTGATGCAGAAGCACAGCCACCGAGAGGATGGGGTTCGCCCAGGCTTGCTTAGAGCGACTGCTACCCGGTTCGTGTCCTCACTCGGAGCACATATAAGGAACCCGGCTTCTGCTTCATTGACAAATTTCAGACAGACCTTGGTAAAAGCAAACAACACAAACAGTATCAATGAACAATGTCTTGTCCTCACATTGTATTCCATGAATCCACTTGAACATTCTATTCTACCAGGGCCACTTGGCTGAAGCCATAATGTTTTATCTGTCAGGCAGTAGATATTCATTCTACTCTAAAGCTAAGGAAGACAAATTTCTGATAAAATAGCTAAATGCAGTTAAAGTGGAATGTCTCATGATCTCATAGAAAGCTTTTTCCCCAACTTGTCAGATGACTGCCACCATTGTAACTCCGTTTAAAAGAGATTTTTACTCGGTACCTTCAGTAGACAGAAATGATCTTGAAATGATGTTTTCTTTGTGTTCTTCATCTTGCCCGGGGCCCAGTAGGGTTCTTGGCTTGTGCTCAAAAGCGATTATAGAAGAAAATGGAAGACCCTTACATATTTATCATGGTTGGCCAGTTGCTGAGTTACCCCATGGGATGAAGGGAAGGAGAAATACTGCACACTAGTCTGCCGTCCCGACTCTTGGCGTCCAGGGCTTGGGCCGCTGTGTTTGAGCTGCGCATGGCTGCTATGGTCCTCTGACGGGCTGTCTTCAGGTCAGCTCAGAACCAACACGCTACAAGGCGCCCCTTCTTTCACTTCCACGATGACCCCGGGGCTCCTTTAAACATTATATGCACTCTTGACTGTCAGTGGTTTCCTCATCCACGATCATTAGTTTCTGAATTCGGAAGGAATCACATTTACCATTTCCACTGGACGGGCCCTGAACCAGCTGTGGTTGGGCCTCTGCTGCCACCTAGCACCAAGTCCTCGAAGGAGTCGTGTAAAAAGGCATCCATTGCAAGTCCTGCTGAAGCCAATGCTGCTCTCATCGGTTCCCCACTCAGTGTCTATGTGTCATGCGGGGCCAGAGAGAGCTTTTCAAAGTCATTCGATCATGAGCAAGAGATGGTACTGTCAAAATAAACTGAAGTAAGAGTATCAAAGAGTTGACTGCAGTTTAAAAATAACTATAAAAGTAAATGCTCTCTCACGTTACCTTCCCTAGTGGTGATTTCTGTGCTTAAATAATACCCAGATATTTTGATCATGGGTTGTAATAGTTTATATATGTTTTCATATCTGAGTTATAGCCAATTATCAATAAGATAGGATTTCCAAACTCTTTACAGTTTCTCTCAGTTTTATTTGGCTTATCTTCTATGACTTATCACAAGTTGCAATGTAGTGTCAACAATGACCTATTTACCCAAGCATTTCCAGGTCCTGTGAGTGGGCGTTCCAGGGATGAGGGGCCGGGGAGGTGGCGGGCAGGGACAATGACTGTATCTTGGATGCTGAGGTGGCTCTCCGAGTGAACACGTTTCTGTGTTAACACGAGGAAGTTGGAACACAGCTCTGGTGTTTCCATGACCACGATGGTGTGATTTAAAATATAGTACTGTGTATGAAAATAATCCACTGCTTCATCGTCAGGCTCGTTTTCGCTCCCTCGTACCCCCCTTCATTTTGTATCAAGAGGAACCACAGATTGCTGGGGTAAGTCCTGGAAGCGTAGCAAACATTCTTAAAGGCTGAGCACACGGCTTGGGACAGTTTCTTTCTGCAGGGGAACAAACTGTAATCACGTTCATTCCTGGCATACCTGAGGTGACAACCAACTGGGCAGTGCTGGTGACAGATCCATAATCGTTCCTCGCGTAGCATGTGAAGGTGCCCGCGTCTTCAGGGAACGTCTCAGCGATCACCAGGGTACAGATTTCCTCTGGAAGACAAGCCGGACGCACAATGCATCAGAGCCAAACAGACGGCCAGCCTCTGCTTGTCGAAAATGGGCAAAGCAGGTGATGACTATAACCGAACAGTTTTATGAAAGTGCTCACAATCGACACCCGAAGCTCCCCACCTCCAGGTTAGCACGTTAGTCAAATGGAGAGAGCTCTCGAGTCCCATCTATTGTGGGAGATTTGGGGACAAGCTCAGCCTGCTTCAGCCTTCTTCCAACATGTGGAAGAAGCTCAGCAGATGCCAGCTTCGTCTTCTCCTCTCTAGTTGACTTGACTGAATGAGCAAGTGCTTTCCACCACAACAGAGTAGCTATAGACTGCTCCATAACGGAACCCCAACGGATGGGGGAAAAGCTCCCACAACACATTGACAATGGGAAATAAAAACAACCTGGTCTGCAGAGACTTGACCCACAAATGATTATTTTGGAAGATACTGTCAAATAATTTTGTGCCTAGTGGATTTCATGGCAATATTGTATAGTATCAACTCCTAGGACATGTAAGGGCCCCACTCCTGCTACATACTAGATTTGCTGCCTTACACAACCTCCCCATAGTTAGATGCTCTTATCTACAGAAAGGGGAAAACAGTTGCGCTGACCTTCCAGAGTTCTTGTGAAAGATCATGATGACGATGAAAACAACAAAAGCTAAGTTTGATCACCCTTACCAGGCAGCTGGTACTATGTTGAGCACTTACAAAGGATTAAGATTTCGTCATCATGTCACCTTACAAGTAAACTTAAATATGCATGTGTACTATTATTAACCCCTTTTATAAGTAGGAAACTAAAGCACAATAAGGTCAATGGATTGGCGAAGGACACACAGCTAATCAATCATTGCTACCTTGTGCTTAGGACAGTGCCTAGCCCACAGTAAATGCCAGATGCCCAGTAAACATTACCTGTGATCATTATAAAGATTGAGCCTATTTACTATTTTTAGGTCAAATAATGATCTATATATACCAGTAGAATAAACTCGAAACAAAAACTCACTGCCATTGAGCCAGTTCCAACTCTCAGTGACTCTATAGTATAGGTAGAACGGCTCCTGTGGATTTCCAAGAGAATACTTTTTATGGGAGTAGAAAGTCTCATCTTTCATCCTTGGAGTGGTTCTGAACTGCTGACGTTGTGGTTAGCAGCCGAACGCCCCCAGGGCTTTATTTCTTAGAAAGAAACTCTATTGGACAGTCATATATTATATGGGCAGGCCAAAGCATTGTATTGTAGAGTTTTCCCTCCCCCCATATGGCCACAATTGTTCCCTTCTCTTGACTCTTGGTAATATGACTTTACAACTCTTTCCATTAAGTGGTAGAATTGATTTCTTGAATCTAGGCTGGACTGTGGCTTGTTGAAATCTAGACTGGATTGGAAGTGATACGTGCCAGCCTGAGTTTCATCCTCAAGAGAGAGGTCTTATCATGTCTGCTTCTCTTGCTGGTTGTTCCTTAGATGACAGGCTTTAAAAAACTTGTAGGAAAACTCCATTATCTTTTAATTCCATGTTTCCATGAATTTTTTGAAGCCCCCTCATGTGAACAGGACTGCACTAGCCTGCTAGGGGATAATAAAAACATTCCGTAGCTATTGTCCTAGGTTGGCTCTTCCTCAGGCAACCTGGAAGCTAAGAGGTCCCGCTGAAGTCAGGCAAACTTGCCATAACAACTGCCCAGCTGAGGCAAAGGCAAAGTGCTGACCCACACAAATTATAAATTATATAAGTGGTTGCTGCTCTAAACTATCATATTTTGGAGTGCTGTGCTATGTAGAAATAACTAACTGATAACAATAAAAATACCTCTCTTTCAACTTCTTTTGTAACCTCTGCAAGGTCAAATTTTTCCGAGTTGTAGGATAATACAACTTCCTTCAATTCAACCATCTTCAACAAACTCATCTCAAACCATGTATTTTAAACATTGGAAGGAAGATAATCCAAACTGTAAAACGGAAAACTTGACAAAAATAAATTTTAATCTGATATCTCTGTATTTGATTTTAAGAAGATATTTAAAGAGATCTATGTTTTAATTTGTTAAATAAAATAAAAACAATGAAAGCAAAAGTAAACAAACAATAACATATAAAATTAAAATCTTTCTTTATATCTTTCTTTATATCTTGAATAATCTAATGCCCTACAAGTAAACTTATAAAGTTCATTGCATGTAATTAGAAAAAAATTAGTTATATTAATTTATCTTTTTCTAAATGTATCTAAATATTATAATACTACATAGCTTTTGATGGAGAATTACTGGGTCAAATAAAAATGGTTTTCGATTATAGGAGTAATAATGTCCAAATGCATCATCTGCATCTATTTCTCCTCCCATTCTTAAGCTTTACCTCTGACATCTGCCCATCCTCATTCCTGATTATATCGATAATAGTCTCTTTAGCAGACTGCTTGGGATTTTGTTAAAAATTTCAAGCTTTCCATTTCTTTTGTGCCACATGTTGCCTTCTTAAGGAAAGACCGAGGGGCCAGAGCAATTGTAAGCTTGTAAGCTTTTGTGGTTTTAGCAAGGGCATGCTCATTTCAGGAAGACAGCTTAAAAGAGGTGCAAAATTGCAAGAGCTATGAGAACACACACTCCATTGTTTCTGCTTATATTCAACTTCATATTGAGAGAGGATGTGAAAAATGAAAGCTCAAGGTAGAGAACAACAAATAAATGTAGAGCTTCATAAAGACAAAGGAAATATATTGAAATTCTTTTCTTAAAAGTAAAAAGTAATGGAACATATATTAAGTACTCATCCATTTAAATGCAAATTGGCTATCTCTTGTAAATAAAAGACTAGGAGAGCTATTATAAACACAGAAATTAACAGGAGGAAGAAGTTGCTTAATTAATCTCCATCTTTCTTGAAGAAAAGCAAGAAGGAATGGTTCAAAACTGCTACAAGCGGGAAGAAGGCAGATTAAATTAAAGGGAAGATTTCTTAATAGAAAGTTAAAGATGTTGAACATGTTTGAGATAAAATCTGAAACCGCCTTCTGTGGGCAGCTTTTAAAAAGGTTTGGAATTAATCCATTTACTTGCGAAGTCTTTTTTAAGAGTAGCTATAATACTTTATGTCCTTCCTGTAGATAAGAGGATAAATGACTCATGGCCCGGCCTTCAAACTGTGCTGTTGAGGAGACATGCCATGTCTTCTTAAAAGGAAATGGATTAGAACATCCTTGAGTCCATTCCATCTCCACAAGCTCATGCCAGCAGTACCCACATGCTAATGTTATTTCATTATTCCCCTTTCCATCTTTTCTTCAAACTTGTGCTTATATTCTTAAAAAAGGACAGTGAAGGCATTTCAAGTAAAAATGTACATCAGGAAGTGCTGTGTTGGGAAAAATATCTTGGGACATAAAGCAGGAATAGTCAAACATTAACCAACCATTGGATGTACTGTAATTATCCTAGAACTATTAAAAATTATTTTTTCTGCCATCCTATTCTTGATAACCTTGCAAACTTACCTAAAGTAGAAATTATAAAACCAGACTAAACACAATTTATTGTATTATTATGTTAAAATTTTTCATAAGGCTTCCATTTGGATTTAAAGCAGAGAATTAAAACACATACCATATGTTTACCCAAATAATGCACACCTTCTTTTATTTCCTAATCATCCCCTTCCCAGAAAAGTATTTTTGTAAGTATGCCATGCATCATGTTAAAAATATTGACATAATTGGTTCCCTCTTTCCTACCCACTCTCCCTCTACCCTCCCTGTTTTGCCACTCACACCACTGGTCCTGTAGGGCTCATTACAAGGAACTATATGTGACCTCCTCCCTGGGGAATGGACAACAGAAAAGTGGGTGAAGGGAGACGTCGGACAGGGCAAGATATGACAAAATAACAATTTATAAACTATCAAGGGCTTATGAGGGAGGGGGGAGGGGGGAGGGAAGGGAAAAATGAGGACCTAATGCCGGGGGTTTAAGTGGAGAGAAAATGTTTTGAGAATGATGAGGGCAATGAATGTACAAATGCGCTTTACACAATTGATGTGTAAATGGATTGTGATAAGAGTTGTATGAGCCCCTAATAAAATGATTGAAAAAAAATATTGACATAGTTTCTGGTGAATCCCCTCCATTTATAGTTGAGGGATATGAATAGCCCTGTTATCAGAGAGCACTGTAATGTTGATTAGGGTAGATGTAATTAAGTTAAAATGTTGTATCTTATCATTTGATCTGCCTTTTGACCCATTTTGAAGCTGTTTCGGTAAAAAAAGAGAGAAGGGAAAACATACATGGATTAAGTCCCTTGGGAGCTCCCTCTGACTATGGACCAGGCATGTGAACAGCCTTGCTAACATGCACAATGCATTGGAAAGTGGATTCTTATGCACTTAGGCTTCAATTAGCATCTTATCATTTGATCTTCCTTATGATCCACTTAAATTTGTTCTACTTTTTAATATTTTCTGCTCTCTTTGATTGAGGTTTTACTTTGTTAATCTTGTTAGTTTTGTCTGTTTTTAAATGTTTTCTGTCTATGAAATTCAGGTTCGGTAAATCGCTAGAGGTAGTACATTGAGGAATAGTTCCTTGGTACTATGGAGGGATAGATAGGGGGAAGTGGGGAGCTAATAACAGTGAGTACAGAAAGAAGAAAATGTTCTAAAACTGATAATAGTGATGATTGTACAATTCTTCTGGATGTGACTGAACAATCGAATTGAATGGTATATGAATGATATGCAAATAAAACTGTTGGGAAAACGTTTGCCTAGTGGCAGTAATGAAAATACCTTGGGTGGCGGTGGTGGGGTTGAAAAACAAATGTAGAGGGCGTTTGCATAAAAATATGGTACAAGAACCCCGTTATAAAGAAATGGTGGGAAGACCTAGTTTTATAAATAGATTATTTCGGGCTAACTACAAGGGAGATTCAAAAAGATTGTGGAAAAATTCTATTATCTTTTCATTCTATTTTCTACA